GGTAGTAAAAATGATAATTAATTTCTGTATCTTTGCAAACAATTTATTGGGCAAACTATGTTTTCCTTGAGAAGTAAAAAGCGAAATGGATGGAAAGAAACAGAAGAAAAAAAAACAACAACAAACAGACGTGTCTGGTGGGCATATTTCTGCAGACAAATGTACAATTAATAAGCGCGAAACATAATTTAGAATTATCTCGGTTATTAAGGGTCGTGAGTTATTCCGTTCGCGTCGAAATAATAATTTCGTCCTTTAACCGTTTCTGCTGCTTGAAATTGTAAAAGTGGTCGTGTGTAAGAGAGAAAGAGTGTAAGAGGAAAAAAGGGTGGGTTTTGCTGAGGGTACGATAACACGGCAACACAACAATTCCATATTTTTAACGGCCGCCACAGCCACCCTTATTTATAACGTGCCGCGCCGCAATAATCGCAAAGTTGAGCATAGATAAGGGGTGGCGCTGCGAAAGGAAAAAAATATTAAATAAAAACAAAACAAAAAGTATGTAGTGTATTGTATATTATGTATTATATGGAGGCAGCATTTTTTTGTTTTATTAATGAGCGATAAACTAATTAAGGTTTTGCGTGCGTCGACACCTTTTCCATGGGAAAACCCAATGGGTCTGATGAAAATTGGATGACGGACGGCTCCCGCGGGGAACCAGACGTTAAAACCGAAACGCAAATTGATTATTATTATAATAATAATAACAATAACAGCGGTGATGATGATGATGAAAATGTGTCAGGGTTTGGGGATCGATTCCATTCATCATCCTCTCTCTCCTCTCCTTATTTTTTGTGTTTCTTCGCTGCTTTTTTCTCCTCTCTATATTTCTCTTTCGCTCTCGTCTGTTTTTTTTTGTTGCGTTGTATGTCGCACGATGCTAAAACACATCCATTTATCACACGTACACTTCATGCCAACCCATTATATAATACATTCCACTTTTGGTTTAGTCCGTGGCCGATGCTTTTATATAATAATACATTATCAAAGTTTTTTTTTTACATCTCTGATTCGTTCTTGGTAGCATAGTTAAAAAAAACTTACATAAACAAGTACAATGGGAGTAAATGATAGAAAAATTACTTTACAATGAGATTACACAAATCATTTATTTATAAAATACATATATTAATCTTAAGTTTGTCAGATTTACCTAAAGAATTTAATTTTTAAATAAGTAAATAACTTTTCAGTCACATTTTCAATTTTGTTCATTTATTTTAATAAAAAAAAATTAAAATGTATACACCTGTATTAATTCTGTAATTATTTACAAAACTTTACTATATCTAAATGTATTTCAATGTCATCTGATAGTAAACTAGAAGTTGCATCACAAAACTCACAAAGTGGATTAAATCAAATAGAGCACTGGCGAATGAGGAATAAAACGTGTCCTTCAGTAACACCAATTAACAAAGTTTTAACGCAAGAGTGTCGTGTCCCAGGGATGGTTTTCTGGACACTGTGAGATATCTTCTTCTGTTGTCTGTTGTGGAGCCTTAGGTTTGGTAAATATTAAATTGAACGAGTTTTACTTGTTGTTTATTATTAAAATATTCTTCAAAGTGTTTGCTTTATTGTAGTTCTTCATTCAGTAGTTGTTTCTTTAGCATACTTCCTAAGACTAATTACAAATACTTATTCTACGTATAAAATTAACTAAGCACGGGGATGGGAGTCTGTTTGAAAATATGAGCGATGTTCTTATCAGTAGTTGGTCTTGATGAAACTGCCTATTCTGCGTCTGGTTTCTGTGTTGAAAATATGAAGGAATGTTACAATCGGTCTCATGGTGAAGGTTCCTTTTATGCTGATGTATATGTTTATATAATAAGGCGACTAAGAGTTAATACACTACATTAACAATAATAATTGTAATAATAACGGTTGGACACAACAAGAGGATCATGTAAAATACCTTTGGATCTGGATGGAAGACTCACTTGGAAGAAACATATACGGACGAAGAGAAAGGAACTATGTCTGAAATTCAGCAAACTATATTGGCTACTCGGTTGAAAATCAGTGCTATCACTCGACAACAAATTATTGATATACAAATCAACACTCAAACCAGTATAGTCATATAGTATACAGTTGTGGGATTCAGCGAGCAACTGTAACATCGAAATACTCCAGCGATTCCAATCAAAAACATTTTGCTCAAGTCGATGTACACTTGGCATGCATCTGGATAGAAGACTCACTTGGAAGAAACATATATGGACAAAGAAATAGCAACTAGGTCTGAAATTCAGCAAACTGCATTGGCTGCTCGGAAGAAAGTTAGTGCTATCATTTGACATCAAATTATTGATATACAAATCAACACTCAAACCAGTATGGTCATATATAGTTGTAGGGTTCAGCAAGCAACTCTAACATCAAAATACTCCAGCGATTCCAATCAAAAACATTTCGCTCAAGTCGATGCACCCTTGGCATGCATATGGATAGAAGACTCACTTGGAAGAAACATATATGGACAAAGAGAAAGCAACTATGTCTGAAATTCAGCAAACTATATTGGCTACTCGGAAGAAAATCAGTGCTATCACTCGACAACAAATTATTGATATACAAATCAACACTCAAAGCAGTATTGTCAGTTGTGGGGTTCAGCAAGCAACATCTAAATACTCCAGCGATTCCAATCAAAAACATTGCCACAATCGTCGATGCACCCTGGTGTGTCCCCAATAGTGTCATACATAGTGATTTGAAAATGGAAACGGTTAAAAGTGTATACAAACTATAGTGAAAGATACCAAGGAAGACTCAATTCACACCCAAATAAATTAGTGGAGAATCTACTAGTAAATCCAACACAAACATACAGACTTAAAAAGTGGAAAATTCTAGACCTACACAGATGGATACTGTTGACTTCCACATCTTTATTACATTTGTACCGCTAAACATATTTCTTACTGTTCTTCTATAGAAAGATTGTAAATAAAGGTATTAGTTATAAAAAAAATAATCAAAAATTACCTAAACCTAATTTATTGAATTACTGGAAAAGAAAATTAATTAATCTCAAAAACAAAACTGAAGAATTGGTGAAGAAAAATACTAAAGAGAAATTGTAATTTCATGTATGTAATTACTTAGTTTTTCTTTGTCTTTGTTTGTTCAGGAAAAAAATAATTAAATTTAATTGAATTCATTAATAGAAAAGAAAATGCATATATTTTATGCTGAGTTTTAAAGAACTTTATAAAATTAAAAGTAAAGCATTCAAGGAGGTATAGTTAAGTAATTGGATTAATAAATTAGAAACGCTCTATGTTTTATAACATTAAAGAAAAATCATATTGAAAAGATCTTGTAGAAAAGCATATGAAATGCGAAACATGCATATTGCAATTTTTTAATTAAGTAACTTTACCAAAGGAAATTGATAGTTCGTACAGTTTCTGTATGCGAATTGATGCATAAACTCTCGTTTGCTGATGAAGGAGAAATAAAGAGAAAGAGAGAGAGAGAGAGAGAGAGAAATACAGTGAAATTTATAAAGTTATTCGAGCTACAAATTTGGAAACGAGGCAATGCATAAATAAGCAGCTAATTTCTGTCTGCTCCGCAGCGCGAATTGATGCCGCTTCCTGGAGGGGACGGCAAAGATAAAAGATAACATACATTTCATTAGGTCGTTTGAACTGCTGGCATTAACACAGATGATACGCATACATGTATATGTTTGTGCTTCCGCTTTTGTACCGAACGTGAATTAGTCCTGTTTGCATTTCCGCAAAGAGGACACACGGAATTTGAACACCCTTTTCCGGCCGTATTGATTGGATACACATCATCCTCCCCCGCGGCGAAATACCATTACGCAATTCGCTCTTTTCCCATGTGCATTTTGAGCCGGTATCAAATTCTTGGATGGAACACATTTATCCACCGGATATCCACTCGCTTTTCTTTTTTTTGTTGTTGTTGTTGCCGCTCTTTTGCATCTTTGAGTAGACGTATCACCGTAATTTGTCCAATTTAATTGGATCACTTGCAGCTGGATCACAGCCCCATTCAACGCGCGACTAATCTCGTCTGCAGAAACATTTCCATTTTCATATTTCTTCCCTAATTATTTAAAGGCATTACTCCCTCATTACATTCTACTTCTTTGTTTCTTTTTTTTTGGGGGTTCAACACCATACATTATCTTTTGCTCTGCATTATTTATGGCTGGATAAAAGCTCGTAATTCCATATAATCAGCGGTCTGTTTCGGTGTGGTTGAAATGGAAGCAAATACAATGCGGTGTATTTTTTTTTTAATGTGCGTCGTTTTTTTTTGTGCTTTGTTTTACCAAATTATGCACTTTTTCTTGGTGGTCTGTTGTGTCGCATTTGGGTTTCATAAACGGCCACGGATCACGCGATCCACCAAAAAAACGATATTTTAATATACTAACAAATATAATGGAAAAAACTACAATTAATTAATATTTACTGTTATAAAGCATTAAATGTATTTAGTTAATCTAATTGTTAACTTTTTGGTAATAATAAATGTTGTTTTTCATTTTTCAAAGCAATATTTACTATTATAAATTTTTCTTCATATCTCAAATAATATCAAAACAATTCAACAAACTTTTTGTTTACGCTCTGCAGGAATTTGCAAGAATTTGTATTGTGTGTGATATTTTGAGAGAAAAAAAAATGTTGGTCAGTGGACACCGAAAAATTTACCATGAGATGTACAAGGCACAGACAAAAAAGTCTACATTCAAACATTCCATAAATCCATTCCGCATTCAAAATATTTCCCAAACATTTTTAACATTTTTCATCCGCTTTCCTTTTCCCCCCTTTTTTTTTGATGTTCCGCTTATTTTATTTTGTATATATACTTGTTGCTTATATAATATGTATCTTTTGACTCTTAAATTTATGTCTTTTATTAACAACATACAATTTATTACAATTATTAATATGTTTTTTTTTTTAATTTATTTTACTTATGTTTTACAGAAAACAAAGCAGTTTCAAAATCTGGACCAACACAAGCACAAGAATCACAAGATGAATATGAAGAAGGTAATACAAATATTTTGTATTTGAAGTTTTCGATTTAACTTCTTTGTTTTTCTTTTTAATTGCAGATGAAGAAGACGAATTGATGATGGATATGAGTATGTGCGAGAGTGATCTTAAATTCAACGAAGTTGTGATGCGACTCGCAAATCCTAGGATCGTGAGGGCATGCGGCTTAGCTTTATCAAATTTCAGCAAGAACTCTGCCCTCACCAATCACTGCATCATCAAGCTTCTGCACAGAATCGCCTTTGACTGCAGCATGTCAACGATGCTCTTCCAGGTCTCCATTTTTCGCATCTTCGAACGCATCTACGAGGAGAAAGTGTTACCCCAGAATAAGGTATAAAAATAAAACGAATATGACTTTCTGTTCAATTGCTTTTTTTTACGAGATTACATAAAACTAAGTGTTCCATTTATTTTGTATCATTTGAGTCTTATTGAAACTTAATATTAAAGGTTTTTTTTATGTAATGTAATTAATGTTTTAGGAAATGGTTAAATTTGCGAGTTACGTGATCCGGCAATTCTTCCAAGTGGCGGAGAAGAACCAGCACGTCTTCATGGAAGCGCTTTTCTGGAAGAACCACCGGGAAGCGTTCGATATACAGGAGGGTTACGGAGTCTACTTCCAAAAGTAATTAGTTTTATGATATTTGTAGTGGGGATTGTGTTAATGTTTGCGTTTACGTATTGATTGGGTTGATGTAATTATTGTGTAAATGTAATTAATGTTAATGTGTTCCCTTAGACAAAGCGCGGTCAAAGCATGGACCGATATGGAGGAGGACGAGCTGCGTAAGCTGTTCATCGAGCACCGGGAGAATCTGATAGAGGAAGGTTGGCGTACTTTGTAGGGTTGCGTTGAGGGACTTCGGTGCTAATTATTGGCGTTTCAGACGTGGTGGATTGGATCGTGAGCAATCTGATCGACAATACGCGGACGCGGCGCGTCGTGCTGAAGAAGCTGAAGGATATGTGCCTCCTTATCGACTACAAGGGTCCTCGTAAATCCGGCATTAGCGGGAAGGCTCCCAAGCAGTGGGGAGAGGACGAGGAGGCGCAATTACAGGAGCTGTACGAGGAGTTTAAGGACGCAATGGGTGAGCTGGATAGATGGATATCTTGTGTGTGTGTGTGTGTAGCTTTGCAGCATATGATACATTATCTCTATGTATAGCATCTGTACGTGTTTGTGTGTGTGTTTGCTTCCTTCAGATCCCCTCAACTGCATTATGCCCCGCTTGGATGTCCACCGACCGAAAAATCGAATCATCGAGAAGCTCCTCGTCATGGGCTTGGTTCAGGACAGAAAGGAGCTGCGCAAGAAGCGTTCCAACAAATCGCATCAGCAGCACGGAAGGAGCGGTAAGCCATCAATATTTGTCTACAACTCATATTCCATCCTATATATATATATATATAAGGATATATTCGCCATAAATCCAAATCGTGTTATAATGAAAGCTCTATCCTCAGTTTATAGCATTTACTTTCGAATCATTCCTCTTAAACAGTTCATCCACTTACACTTAATAACTCAATTATTATAACCATCCTATCCACGGAACTGTGAAAGATACATAGCTTTTACTACAGATTGAATCATAAAACTTTTAGCATCTTAAATAAATTCAAAGTATTCTGGCTAATATTCTTTAGCTATTCATAATTTAACTGGTGAAATCTGTTTTAAGCTTAAGCGAAGATAGTTGGGTTTACAGTAATTAGCGGAGATCAACTGTTTAAAAATTTAAATCTTTAGGTGGAGTTTGTTTCGAATTAAATAACAATCCGAGCGAAACCGCACAGATCTCGCACCTGTAATTGAATACATCAATGATACATGATGTTACATGACCGCAGGTAGACGAAAAGTTCTATGTCAGTTCGCATGGATTCAAATGTAAACGTTTGAGGTCAATCGATAAATTAATGAATTATTCATTTATTCATCATTTGTATTGATTTGACTTTTCATTTTTTAAGATTAATTTAAAACTTTTACCATATTTTATGTTTGCATGAGAAGGACAAGTCTGTTGTCAACCTTTTGATTTTCTTTCATATTTTCACTCATATTAAACTCTTTGAATACTAGATTATATACACTAGGGTACAAACATAATAATTACTATAAAGATTATCATAAATAATGTGTTTGGTTTGAAAGTGTATGATGGTGAGGAAGGGAGGATTGAGTGCAGGTTTGTGTGTGGAGGGGTGGGTTTGATGCTTGTGCGGCGACTGAAATAATTCAAACCGCCCGTTCTACGGCTAATTGGGGCCCGGGGTTTGCATAATGAAATTTAGGCGTCGTATCGTATCAGGGAAATTGGATTTTCGATCTGAATGCCATTTAAGTATTTGCATGGGTAATTTAAGCGGCGGCGGCGGTGGCGGTAGCGGCAGCGGCGGAGGCGCAACTTTTGATATGAATTAATGAAACATATTGTAGTTCGGGACAAAGCCTTCTCCGTCCGGCTGGTTGTCGGAGGCGCCGGGAAATTCTCCCTGTGTGTTTCGAACGACTGTGTTTATCTGTGTGCTCGCTCAGACGTGTCTATGTGTACAGTTGGAGTCAGGGATGTGGAACTATACACACAGACACTCACACACATTCAAACGCATTTGATACCTATACATATATGGTATATACACATACAGACCATCCATTCCATCAGCACAGAAGCAGCGGCGGAGGCAGCGACAGGTTTCTATTTGATTATATGATGGGTGCACACTCGCACATCGCAGCGTGTAAGGGGGAGAGGAGGTTTGCAGAAGCAGGATGAAAATCTATTTATTTGATAAAAACACAAGTAAACTCTCCCATCGAGAATCTATCTATCCGAGGGATGATGGAGTATCGCAGGAAGCCGTGTATCCGCTCCATTTATAATCCCTGTTTAACAAGGAGACTCTTTTTTTTCTTCTTCTACAAATCCCCCTTCTTTTACACACACACAACACACCCTCTTCTCCCATCAGTCCGATTCCGGCTCTTGCCATTCTTTCTTCTCCTTTCATGTTTCCCTTTTTCCCAAAAAGAGGGAGAAAAGACGCACTTAATGGTGACGTAATGAGCGTGCGGTTTATTAATCCTCGCGACTTCTTGGACTCTCCGAATTACCCCAGTCATTTCGCTCTCAAGCACAGGAACGATTCCGAAGGGGGAAACGCACTCGTGCCATTACCAGCAACAAAAAGTCGCAATTTGTCATATTTTGTATACTGTTGAAGGGGGAGGAATACGCACTTTGCCAAGTTCGTTGATTCTCATACTCTTCTCCATCTATTTCTGCTTTGTTATTAACGTAAATACGCCAGTTTATTATTTTATCTCAGTTATTTTATTACTTTTCACATACAAATATTAATAAACTATCAAATTACTTAAGTTTGGTAACAACTGCAGAGAGCAACAAATGCTTTTGATTGTGATGGTATTTTATTGAAGTGTCTGCATTTCTGGGATTTCCCCCTTTGTCTTTTCCAAATTGTATTGATTTCGGGCGGAAAACCATCTGGACCAGCTGCTCCTTAGTGTCTCTATTAAATAAAGGTAATTTGAGTTTATGCGGTCATTTCCTTTGGACTATAAATAATTGATTATTCAGCAACATCAGCAACATATATAATATTCATCATCAAATAAAGTCACATTATTAGATACAATTTCTCATTTTAATATAATAGCTGAAGAATTTTTTACACTGAAGTATCAAAAAGTTTCATTCTTGTAATAGAGTTGTTTCGTGTAATAAATTTAATATTTTGCAACACGTGCGAACTAACAATAACATCAGATGGTGTCAGAGTTTGCAAGAAGTTTCCACGTATAAAGACGGTAATTTTGTGAAGTGGAAAGCTTCTGCGAAGCACGTGGCATTGATGGATAAATAAATGCATTAGAAACTCAATTGCTCTCTATTAATAATACATCAGAGATTTCTATATATTATTCAAACTGTTTCAATTTTTCAAACATATTTCATTACATTTTCTATAATTATTTTTGATAATAACTATTACTTTTATTAAAACAGTTGAATAAAATGAAATAGATTTATAAATTAATCATAAAATATAAGAAAAGTGATGATAGGAAATGAATTATTACGCTTTTTATTTTATAGATATTCGAACGTAAAAGGTAGAAAAATTCATATCATTATATTTATGGGCATAAAATACATTATTTCACTTTTATAGATTGAAATTGATGTCGTTTGGGTCTCGTACGTCTATAAATATCCGAGATGTATGCTATAATTAATACATGCGTTAGTAGGCATTAGATGATGCATGGCTATGCTAACATCCGAACGGCCAGTAAATCTTGCAAATTTCATTTCCATCCAGTTTTTTTTTTCTTTCTTCTTTGCTAAGAAAAGGTCATCGGTAATAAGGTCAAACGATCCGCAGGGCGATATGAAATATGAGCGTGACCTTTTTGCCAGACCAGACCTTCTTCCACTTCCTCTCCGCTTCTTCTGCTTTTCATTTTTGTTTCGAGTTCGTTGAGGCAACAAAGCCCTCCGCCAATTAATCCCATCCGAATGGGCAGCGGATGCGAACTGTGTCTGTGTGTGTGCTGTGCTAAAAGTGATGAGCCTAGTCTTGCCCAATTACCGCAGTTAATTGGCGGACGCGCAGCACGTGACAATAGACATCGATTTTTTCACTCCTGCTCCTCCGTCCATCCTCCCAATCCACCCAATCCTTCGACAAGGACGAAATCTCCTTGTTACGTGCATGCAAATTTCACTGCATATTTAATAGTTTAGCCAATCATTAAAAGTCATTTCCTATTCTATAATAAGCATCATATTGTTGTTGAAATTCTTTAACTTTGAATATATTCTCAAACAATACAAGATTTCTAATAAAATAACAAAAACAACATTCGTAACTTTAATAATCTCATTCAAAAAGTCTAAATTTTCTTTCCTTAAAACATTCTTTTTAATTTTGAATTTTTATACTTATAAAATGAACATCAAAGCTATTCTCTCTAGCATTTTCCAGCGCAGACGCATTCATATTTAATAATCCCTTCATTATTTTT